AAATTTAATTGGAGGAAAGATTTAAATTAAATAATTAAGTAAGTAAAAAAAGTAATGTTTTAAGATTAGCATCTATTAAAGTATTAATTTACACCGGAAAACTTAAATAAAAATATATAATGTAAGAGTTTTTCATGTATAAATGACAAGTTTTGATGAATATATGAATCTGTGATCATTATTTTCGTTTCTTATAATACAATATTTCATTATAAATTTTGTTGGTATTATCATTTTGAAATTATTCTGCTTAAACAAGGAAATGATAGCATATCATTTTGACGACTATTAAAACATCAAAATAATTTTGATGATTATTAAAAAATAGGCTAATATTTACACACACTATTTTTATGCAATTCAAATACGTATGTGCTAGAAGGGGTTTTAATTTCAGCAATGACTGTATTCGTGAAGAAACCAGCAAAATGTGCTCGTTGACCTAAAAAAGAGTAATTAATTTCAGATATAAGAAAACGTTAAATATAGAATATTTGAAATATTATGGGAGGAAAGTAAGTATATTATAAAAAAACTATAATTTTTTTTTTCCTCCTTTTCTTTTCTCTTTCTTTCTCCCTTTTAACAAAGAAAAAAAACTGCAGTTGTCTACAAAAAAACAAATTTTTTTTTTTTTTGGAAAAAATAAATGTGTTTGAATAATTTTCAATTTGAATAATTAATCTAAAAATAGAGCCTCAACTCAAGAAAGTGAAGGTAAATTTGTAGAATTTTAACCCTTTCATTCAGTTAATTCATCATTTATCATTTCATCAATTAATTAAACAACTGATGTAGGACTTATTACTGTAAAACTTAAAATATACGGGTAAAAAAGTAAATGCTAACAGATTTTTATTATTGAAAGTAAAAGCATCTAAAGAGATAAATTGATTTTAAAAAGGAATTAAAAAGATTGATAATGAGTAATCAGGAGATATTCATCAAGCATTGCAAGCAGAATCATTTCTAATTTTCATTTTTAATTCTTTGAGAAGTAAATTTTTGATTTTTTCTTTAAAATCAGTTAACAAATGCACTACTATATCAATAAAAATTAATTAAAAATATTATGAAAAAATTTACTTATAAAAAAACCACCAAAGCCAAATGTTGCATGATATGGCATTGGTGAGCCCATTGACTCCAGGATTAGCTGATCCGTGTCAATGTGATTACTTTTATCCAAATAATTTCGATATGCTTCAACAGTATTTTGTATAGCAACTGCACCTTTAAAGGTAGGTGGGCTCTCGTCGGCGAATGAATCGGGTGGAATGTTAAAATGCTAAAACAAAAAAAATAAGTGAAATTTGAAATAATGTAAAGATAAAGAAAAAAAAATTGTTTGCATTTGAAAGAAAATGATAATCTTCTTTTGCAAGAAAATTTCTGCAATTTTTAAGTTACCAAAAAATAAAAAAAAAACAAAAGAAATATATTTGATATTAAAAATAATCCTTAAATATTTTTCATTATAATAGCAAAGATTTTACAATTAATAAATTAAGAAATGAGATATGTTATTATGTATTTGATGATGATAATAAATGAAAATGTAATTTCAAATGGTATCGAATTATCCAGTAAGCTAAAATTATATATGATTGCGAAGGAAAAAAATTTAATTTGAATTAAAAGTTTGCGAGAATAAGTATTAGGAATGCTTACGTTAAGCATAAACCTCCTTTCTCCCTGAACATAGAAGTAATGAGCATGATCAACAGTTTTATCGGGATATCCAACTACATAAATTAACTCCGTGTAATGTCCTTCATATCCATAATAAAAATATTCTGGTTCTTGAAATATGCCAACTGCTTTGAACTGTAATTTTAATTATTATTGATCAAATGTAGCAATTAATTCACTGACAATGATAATGTTATTGTAAAAGTTGTTAAATGATGCTATGATATGAAAGTGCTTTAGGACATAATTAAACAAAATATAATAATAATATTGAAGAATTACAAACATCAATTGAACTGTAAAGTTTCCTGGTCACCACGATCTTTCTCTCATATATCCAATGAATAATCCTTAAGGACATCAAATAGTTGTCACGATCGAACCAGAACGGATATTTGGGCAGTGATGTACCACCGCCATGTGATAAGTTCAATTTTTCGCCTTTTTGCAAATATCCTATTTGTACTATATCGAAGCTACAAAATAATATATTATATTTAATTTTGAAGTTTGTATCGATTCTTTCAATTCAAATCTAAAAAATTCTTTAAAAAATTCAAATTTTATGCTTTTCATGCTTGAAATTATTACACTAATACATTTGTTAGCAATTTCATTAAATTTTTATTTTTATTTTTTTATTTTTACACTCATAATATTA